AAGGACAGGAGAAGGAAGAGAGAAGCGTGCCTTAGAGCTCTGCCCCGGAACTGACAGCTAAGTGGATGGGAGATGACAGATCGCAAGAACACATTGCATGTGGCAGTGGCTCCAGGTGGGCTTTCAAGTCGGAGGGATCTGGGCTGGAATCCTGGCATAAAGTAATTCCCGTAAATAGTATCTGTGCTGTCACTGGTGTGTAAGCTCCAAGAGGTTAGAGAACCTTCCTTGGCCTCATATCCCCACACCTGGCATATTGTTTGACACTTGGTAGATGCTTAGTCAATACTGGTTGATGAATCGCTGAATGAATGAATGACCTTTTAACTAGGCTAGAGACTCCCTGGAGACATGCCAATGAAAGGCTTCCATAGACCCAACTCTCACCAGACTGCCTGCTGTCTCCACCCTGCAGCTTACCAGCCAAATCACCTTGGGCAGGCAACTTGACTTCTCTGTGTCTCAGTTGCCCCATCTGTAAAATGCAAGTTAATAATGGGAACCTCCCTGCAGTGTTGTCATGAGCATGCACAGCTCCTGGAGCAGTGCCTAACAGAGAGGTAGCACTCAATGAGTGTTGGCTGCTAGTGTTATTTTAACTGGTTTTTAACCATTTCTTCCTCGGATCAATCAGATCAGTATTTGTGGCACTCTGGAGCATCAGGCGGTGCATTGCCATCCTTCTAGCTGCCTGCCCCAACCATGACACGAACAGACTTTTCCTTCTGACTTACGAGGTCCCCACAATGTGGTCCACACAACCTCATCTGCCATTTTTCCCCAGTTGAGTCCCCATTTTTGGAAATAGCATAAACTTTGGAGTCAGAGAAATAACATGAAACTCGCAGTTCTAGCCCCTTCCACCTGCAGAACTGATAGGTTTAGGTTAGGAAACTCCCTAGACTTCAGCTCCCTACTTGGCAACTAGGAATAATCATGCATATCTGATGGAGTTTCTGGGTGAAACAGATAACCGTGCAGAGCCCAGTCTGCAGGGCCGTCAGTCGCTGGTCATTCACCTTTCCTGCAGGCCAGCCCCTCGCTCTCTCTAGCACTCGTCAATCTCCTCGGATTTGTTTTTCCTCGTGTTGGTCTGTCTTGTCCAGGACATCTTCTGTGCTGTCTCTAGCTCACCTGATCGCTCCTTTTTCCTCATTCCTATTGTTCTTTGTCGCCACCACTGGCAACACCTCGTCTCACCACTATGACATTTCTCTTGACCAGTTCCATGGAGCTTTGTTCTATCTCCCTACCAAGACTGTGGGTAGTTTCAGGGCAAAAGCCCAGATCCCAGAGTCCCTGAGCCTGCAGGGGCTCAGTTTGTCGTGAGTTGACCCCACTGAAGAAGCCTCAGGACTTGGGAATTGCTGGATCTTCCTCTTCTCTCCACTCCCGCCCTCCCGAGTCAGGTGCTCCTAGACCGTGGCCTGCCGTGCAAGGAAACACCATGTATGGATATGTGAGAGGGTCTGACCTTTGTTAATGGATCTTAAAGCAGCTCCCTATTTCATAGGCAAAGTCCTAATTTTGAAATTAAGATGGTCCTATTTCTGTCTCTGTGGAATAAATGCTGTAGGTTTGGGGACAGTCAGCACCAGAAATAAGGGGTGCCTGCTGGAGACCCTGACTTGGCACGGGAGAAAGCTTACTCTGTTTTCTCAGAGTGATGAGACTTTGATGTCAGCCTGGTTCTCAGGGATCTAGGGAGCAGCATATGAAAAGGCAGAGCGAGAGCCATATGCTGTCTAGGGAGGCCGAAGCCCAGCATTAAAACCTTAGGGAGGGTGGGCGAAAGGAGCCCCTGGGCGCCTGCCCCTCTTTGGCCCTTTTCCCTCCTTGTGTCCGAGCCTTGGGAGAAAACTGCTTTGTAATCAGCATCTTTGTCTTTTCCATTTTTTCTAGTTTTGTTTTTGATTAAGTATCCCCACCTTGTGGACAATTAAATGCAGTAGCTAATGGTCTTTTATAAAATCTTTTAATATATGCTAAGAGCCACTTAGCTTTTGAGAGGCAATAATCGGACAAGAGAGAAAATGGTTTCTTCCAAATTTAGAAAGGATGATCATCTGGAGGGTCTAAAACAGAGGATGGCAAACTTTTTCTTAAACAGCCAGATAGAAAGTATTTTCAACTTTGTGGGCCATAAGGCGCCTACTGAACTCTGCCACTGTAACGCAAAAGCAGCCTTAGACAATACACAATCAAATGAAGGGGCCAGAGTTGACCCTCGGGCTGTAGTTTTCTGACCTCTGATCTAAAGTATAGAGGACATAGGGGGTCCATTTGTTTAAAATCAGAAATTTCCTGAGAGAGACTTCCAGGTAGGGAAGGCAGCTACATGGAAGTGTTCTCTCTTCCCCACGTTCGTCTCTTCCTCGTCTCATTTAAGGAAGAATCAGATAATCATACTCCACTATGATAAGTGCCTTACAAGTGTCGCCTCATTTCAACCTTGCACCAGTCCTAGGAAATAGGTGTAGTTATTATCCCACTAGGGCACAGAGAGGTTAAGTCAATTGCCCAGGGTCCTCCTGGCTCATAAGCAATGGAGACAGAACTCAAACCCTGCCTCTGGGCTGCCCTGTTACTGCATTTTTCTTGAATTTCATCACTTTAATCTCCACCATGTTTATGAAAGATGTAAAAGCATCCACAAATAGAATGAAGAGCAGGTTTTTCTACTTTGCACATCCCAGTAGAAAATTAAAACAAAAGGAAACATATTGCCTATCGCAAAAGACAAAGAAGACAGGATGCCACATGGAAGCTTCAGAAACTGACAGCATAAAACAAAATAGCAGTGGTAAGACCACATATCAACTATGACAATAAAGGAAATTCAACTCCCTATTAAAAGACAAAGACTCTCAAACTGAGTTTTTAAAAAATTCTGCTTACGAGAAATACACAGAAAAAAGGAGATAAATGATCTACAGTGAATATGTATTTTTATTTTACATTTTTAAAGGAATACTTGGTGGTCGTAAAAATTTCAAACAATGCACAGTGTGATAAAGTTCAAAGTAGATATACTTGTTTCCCAGTCCTACTCCTCAGAGGAAAAATGGTTTCCCAGTTTGGTATAAACCCATCCGCATATTTTTCTCTATATGTCCATCAAATGTGTTACTTTTATAATCAGAAAAAAATCAAGTTCTGTAATAAAGAAAGAAGGTCAATTCTAACTCCCTTAAGAGAAATCTAAGTGATGTTGTAGCTCATTTAGGCATATAAGGAAGAGTTATAAGGGTAGTTATTAAGTTTCTAACATTATCTCGTTTAATCATGTCACTCATGTGAGAAAGATATTATGCTTCATAAATGAAGAATCTGAAAAGGAGTAAGGTGAACTGACTTGCCCCAAATCACCCAGCTAGTAATAATTGAGCACTTACTATGTGCTAAGTATTAGTACAGGTGTTTTCCATACATTGTCCTATTGAATCCTCGTGACAACCTTATGAGATAGGTTCTCTTATCCTCATTTCACAGATGAGGCAACTGCAGCACAGAGTGGTTAAGTAACTTGCCCAAGATCACACAGCTAAGCAAATGGGAGAGTCAGGATTCAAATTCAGATATTCTGATCCCCAGAACCATCACTTTTAACCACTAAATTAGGTCTGTCTTAGTCTAGAGTTTATTCTGCTTTCATTCTACCACAGAATGATGGAGGAAGGGTGGTGAGGGGCACGGGTGGGTGGCGGGGGGCGGGCAGGACTGGAGGGAGTAGGAGACCACACTTCCAGCCTCAGGGCTGAATAACTCCAGAGTCACTCTGGCCAGAGGACAGGGCTTTTGCTACTTCTGGCCATTCATACTGGACAACTAGTCGACTAAAACCCTTTGAAGTCAGCATGTGTCCCATCACAGAAGCAGTGGTCAGGGCAGATGTTCCATATCCCACCCGCAGTGGTTACAAACATGGTCTCTGGAGCCAGACCACTAGCTGTTTGGGGGTACCGGTCACCTAATCTCTTTGTTCCTCAACTATGTTTTCTCAACTATGTACTGAAGCTAATACCTGTATCCACCTTATATGGTGTTGTGAAGAGTTACAGACAGGTAAAGAAAAAGCACACGTGAAGTACAGTGTCTGGCACATTGGAAAGGCTCAGTGGGTGTCCGTTCTTTGCTTTATTCTACTCTCTCACCATTCCCAGTCCCTCCTTGCCTAGTACAACTTTAGCAACAGGGGTCAGGAGAGGTGACTCATTCCTCGCAGGGGACACCAGCCCCTCATGAGAAGCCCAGTGTATTTGTCAGCCAGGGCTGCCATGACAAAATGCCACAGACTGGGTGGCTTACATAAGAGAAGTTTATTTTCTCATAGTTCTAGAGGCTGGAAGTCCAAGATCAAGGTGCTGGTAGGGTTGGTTTCTCTCTGTTATTTTTCATTTGATATTTTCAGACTATGGTTGACCACAGGAAACCAAAGCCATGGATGAGACAGGAACTGCTATATACCCTATTCTCTACCATGCTTTCCTTCACTTAACAATATATCCTGGGCACCACTCCATGGCATTCATATAGAATATTTCTCATTCTTGTTTTATAGATGCATAAATAGTCCATTTTGTTGATTATTTAGTTTATTCAGTCAGATACCTATGGCTGAAAATTTAGGCTGTTTCCATTCTTTTGCAGCCTTGTATAGTCTTGTACAAATATATGTATATGTTTTCTCACATTTTTGTCAGTGCACTTTTGGGGTCCAGTTCTAAAAATAGACTTGCTGGGTTACAGAATATGAATTTTGCTGCACATTACCAAATTCCTCTCCATAGTGCTTGTGCTGTTTAGCATTTCCACCAGCAAGGTACTAGAATTCCTAGTTTCTTACAGCCTTGTGTGGCATCGGACTTTAGGTTTTGCCTATCTGATGGATGAGAAATAATATCTCACTGTAGTTTTAATATGTATTTTTCTTCTTGAGAGTGAGGCTGAGCATCTTTTCGAATGTTAGAGATAGTGCCTTTAGGAATCCTCCCCTCCAAATCCCTGCCAGGCAGCTGCCACTCCAGAATATGAAGATGAACGATGGAGAGAGTGAAGGACTGAATGATAGAGAGGTCACTTGACAGTCACATGGGCACAAGAAGAGATTAACAGAGCTGGGAAAGAAAACTGAATGGCGGCCACCAAAGGAAGGAACTGAGTTTCCCTCTCTGGAGATTTTAGATAGGCTTTTGTTGATATGTATGCACTGAGTGATGAGTGGCCTAGGCAGGCAGTAGTGACTGTGTGATCTACGGCTTCCTGCAAAGTAAATGAGCAGATCACAGTCCAGCAAGTGGAGAGGCTGGGCCTGTGCTGAATGGAGCCGAGAAAGAATCCCCCCTCACTGCTGAGACTGGGTACCTGCATAGGAACCCCGGGACGTCGCAACAGCCACTCCCCTGCCCACCTCCAAGGCCTCACATGTCTATTGGAGAAATAGAGGAAAGCATTAGTAGTTTCACTGAGTTGGATGGATGGGTTTTGAAAACTGGGGTTACCCAGGAAGTGACAATACACATATGCAATTTACTCTCTCAATGTTTTGTATAGGTGCTGTGTAATTACTTAGTTCCTCTAAGTCTCAATTTACTGAAAATGGGATACTAATCTCCACCTATAAAATGAGGATAATTTATGTATGTGCCTTTTTGTATTGCAGTTGTCACAAGGATAATCCGTGTCAAGATCTGGCACATAATAAGCTCCTGATACACATGAGCTCATTACTGTCAATCATGATTGTAGTATTGTTATATGCTAAAGGGGGATTTAAAGGCAGAGGTCTTGAGGTTAAATCTCAGCTCCAACTTCATTAGCTCTGTGTCCTTGATCTTGTCTCTTCACCTACTTGGCCTTAGTTTTCTCCTCTATAAAATGGAAATAATAACTTCATGTGTACATTTAGATGAGCTATACATGTAAAGCAATTAGAATAGTAAGTATGAGTTGACTATTATAATTGTTATTATTGTTATATTCTTTATTAATTAAACTTCCTAATATTTTCTATTAAGAATGCTTGACAACTATTTTAGATAATTCCAGAAGGTTATGGAATTGAGAGAAGAAGGGTGCGGTACATTTGACTATATTTTATGAAACCGATTTCCTTGAGATATCTACAAAACTTTGCAGGAAGAGAAGTGCTATATAGCTCTTTATCCCCTCCCCAGTCCTGTTCAGGTCATTTTTGACATCTGGTAGCTCCACAGGAAGAGGGTCCAAGAAAGCAGAGTTTCCTTCAAAACTGGGAGATTGCTCAGCTTCAGATCTCTAGATTTATGCTGTCTTGCCTGGGTTTGAATCCTGGCTCTGTGACTTGCCAACCCAGAGCTAGTTACTCAACCTCCATAAGCCTCAGCTTTCTTAGGAGATACTAATAGCACCAACCTCACAGGGGTTTTGGTTTTGTGAAGAGTGAACATGATTATATATGTGAAGTTCAATGCCTGACGTGGAGTCAGCTCTCAGTGACAGTGGGGACCACGGTGTTGGCAGCGTTGACGTGCAGAGAACATCACGCTCTGCAGCGGCCTTGGGGAAGTGTGCTAGTTAAGGGGCTAGGTTACACTGTATTAGCAAACAACCTCCAAGTCTCAGTGGCTTAAAAACAGAAGTTTATATCTCACACAGACCATGCAAGTTATGTTTTTAACATGGGTGGTCGGAGATCTGCTTCTGTGAGTCACTTAAAGACCCAGGCTGATGGGACTTCCATCTTGACACTTGCTTCCATAATCACCGAGGCAGGAAAAGGAAACTTCACAATCACGCACTGGTTCTTCAAGTTTCACATGGACATGACATGCATCATTTTGGCTCTCATTTTATTGCTCAAAGCAGTCACATGACCTGGCATAACTTCAAAAGGGGCAGGCAATGAAATCAGACCATGTGTCCTGGAGGAGGAGCACTGGAATAGCTCTCGCGACAATCACAGGGGTTAGGGGCTGGTTGCAGGAAGAGGCTGGAGTGGTGGGAAAGATGCAGGTGAGATGGGGAAGCTGAGTAATGGAAGAATGGGCCAAAGGAAACCAAGGGACTGAGATGACAGGCTTTGCAAGATCAGAGACAGCCAGGAGATCTGCCTAGACCACACCATGTCTCATGCAGTTACCTGCCATGGACTGCATTCATTCATCCTTTCATTCATTCATTTATTCATCCAACCAGTAATCATTGAAAGATGACTGTTTGCCAAGTGCTCTACTAAATGCTGTAGATTCCAAGTTGTGTAAGACAAAACATGCAGTCCGTGCCCTCATGGAGTGCCAGTGCCCAGAGCAGAGCCTCAGGGTTCTGACCACTCTTCAGTGTTGGACGTGTGGAGGTTTGCTGGGTTGGTGCCTCTGCCTCAGGCCTGACAATTGAGTGTGGAACTAAGAAAAAACCACTGTGACCCAAATATTATCTGTACTTCAGCCCTTTTAAACAAAGGGATTTTGTTTAAGGGTTTCTTGTCATTTATCCTCTCTGGGCTTTAATAAAACTCCAAATGATGTAACTGGACATATCCATAAAGGTCCCAATAGACAAAACTCACAGTTCATAGCTTATGCAGTTTTCCATAAAAATAAAAACAATACTTGTTGGCTGACACATTTTATAGAGAGGTTTTTTGTTCATTTGTTCATTCATTTGTCCCTCAAGAAAGCTGCTTCTCTCCTTCTGTCCTCCAGCTCCCTGCGGTGGTCATCTGACTTCGCCCAGCGGTACCATCCTCTCTCCAGGCTGGCCTGGCTTTTACAAGGATGCCTTGAGCTGTGCCTGGGTGATTGAAGCCCAGCCAGGCTACCCCATCAAAATCACCTTCGACAGGTGCTTGTGACCACGGCCTTGGGAGAGAGGGGTGAGGGGGTGATTTCTATGGGGCAGTATAGGAGAGAATCTGGAGTGAGTGGGGGACCAGCACCAATGCTGAAATGTCAGCAAGATCAAGGCGCTGGAGCAGACTGCCCTGGGTGGGGACAGATCTCATTGGCTTTGCCCTTGGGCTTGGTTTGTGCTCTTTGGGTGACTATAACTGCGGGGGGAGGAGAATGCTTGGGATGTAAGGGTACCACTTGGGATGTAAGAGTCCTTCCATCCCTCTAACCCCGAAGGAGGGACAGTGGGCAGATAGACACCATCAGATGTTAAAGCATGGCATTAGCATCTGAGGAGCATAGCCCAGAAATTTCCAACATGGGAAGACAGCTTCCCTGACCTCTGGCCCAAATCCTGCTCATATGTGCCACTTCTAGCTCCCACCTAGTTATGCCCCCTGGGCAGGGAAAGTAGCCGCCCAAATATGAACACAAATTTCTTCCAGACAAAGCATTCATGGCCAGGCATAGCAGTCTGCAAACTTTTTTGTGACGGGCCAGATGGTAAATATTTTAGGTTTTGTGGGCCACTCACCCACTTGAAGATCTCTGTTGCATATTCTTTGCCTTTCTTTTTTTTTTTTTAACATCCCTTTGCAATGTAAAAACCATTCTTAGCTCTCCAGGCTATAGATAAGATCTGGCCCTGGGGCTTTAGTTTGTTGACCCCTGGCCTAGAGCATTCTGACCTCCATGAGCCTAGCCATTGCACTGCTAGGTCTTAAGATAGGTCATGGCCTGGCCATAGAGAGCATGAGAGAGCCACGTCCTACTGCAGGAGAAGGAGGTTAAATGCAGTAGAGTAGGTCCTTTCACATCACTAGTGAATTCGTGCAGATTATATTAAAAGATCCCAGCCTGCCAAAATCTGGTTGTTCAGAAGGCCTGGGTCAGGCAGAGATTTTGTCATTTGCAAATTAATAAGCCTTGGGTTTCTCAAGAAGTCTTCATCTCTGTCATTTGGCAGATTTAAAACTGAGGTCAACTATGATACACTGGAAGTGCGAGATGGACGGACATACTCAGCACCTTTGATTGGGGTTTATCATGGGACCCAGGTCCCGCAGTTTCTCATCAGCACCAGCAACTACCTCTACCTCCTCTTCTCCACTGACAAGAGTCACTCAGATATTGGCTTCCAGCTCCGCTATGAGAGTGAGTCTTGAGGGCAGGCATGGGAGGCAGATGACCGGGTTGGCCCAGGTGGGCGAAAGGCCCCGGGACTCTGCTCCACTGTTGGCCCCAGCTTGGTGCCATCCCATGGCCTTCTCAGTTAGGCTGTGCTCCCTCACTCTCAGCATCCCTCGGGGGTCACAGAGCTTAGAGTTGTTCATGACCTTCACACAGGGTCCTCATGGGCACACCGCACAGTCTCTACTGCGTGTAGATGATTGGGTAGACACTGTGCTGGGCACTCTGGGGACAGAGTATTTGAGTGAGCAGAGTATTTGAGTGATGATGGCATCTCCTGCTCACAGGCCCTCTCTCATCACCTTCTGCATGCATCCCCTCGATGGAAAGGATCAACGTCACTTCAGTTCTCTGCGGACCAACATAGAAAGTTATGGTTGAGGGCACCACGAGGACAGGGGCGTTCTCTCACTCGTGTTTGTATCCCTAAGCCTTAGCAAAGCACCCGACCCACAGCAGATGCTCAACAAATGTTTATTGAATTGATGAACACACAAACAAATGGCCAAGCCAACTCTTTTTCTCTGAGAGGTGGGTCTTTACATGCCCTTTCAGCAAGCACTGACAGTCACATTTCATGAGCTGGAAATTGGCAACCTCAGCTTTTTATAAGGCAGGGCTCTCTCCTCCTTTTGTGAGTCAGCTGGGGTCCCTCTACAGTAACAGGGAGCTGTCTGTCCCAGCTTGGCCTCTCTTTCCAGCTATAACACTGCAGTCAGACCACTGTCTGGATCCAGGCATCCCTGTAAATGGGCAGCGTCATGGGAATGACTTCTACGTGGGTGCACTGGTGACCTTCAGCTGCGACTCAGGCTACACATTAAGTGATGGGGAGCCCCTGGAGTGTGAGCCCAACTTCCAGTGGAGCCGGGCCCTGCCCAGCTGTGAAGGTGAGACACACCATGAGGGGACGCAGAAGTAGCAGATTTCTGCCCACTGACGCCCTCATCCCATCAGTGAGGGTTGGAGGTTTGAGAGGAGACAGGGGAGGGGGTCCAAGGTAGATCATGAGGGGATCTCCCTGAGCCAGTCCATTCTCTCACTGCCCTCTTGGCTCCTTCTGTAGCTCTCTGTGGTGGCTTCATTCAAGGCTCCAGTGGGACCATCTTGTCACCAGGGTTCCCTGACTTCTACCCCAACAACTTGAACTGCACCTGGATTATCGAAACATCACATGGCAAGGGTGAGTGTTTAGACCCATTGCAGGTACTGGGAACTGATGTAGTCAGGGCCCCAAGTTCCCCATGTCAAGGACCTCAATGGGGATCTCTCTGCATCGTGGCCTCTGGGCTTAGTCTGAATTTTTCTCACCATCAAGAAAATTTCCAGAACCTTCCCATCTCTTTGAATCATGGAATTCATTCAATAAATATTGTTGAGAATCTGAAATCTCCATGCTGAAAGAGATCTTAGAGGTTACCAGCTATCAACTCCCACTGAATGAGGGAATCTTCCGTAAATCACTCCCCACAAGATGGCAAAATACCATCTGCCTAAACACCTCCAGTGGTGGGGAGGTCGCCAACCCAATTCACAAGTGGGCACCTACTATCATTTTTTGATAGGTCTGTCTCCCCCAATGGCCTATTAGGTGACTTCATTCTTGTACTGTGTCCTGGGGGAACATAGGATCTGTCTGCCTCCTCTTCCTCACGTCCACCCTCAGATACTGACACATAGCAATCCCCTTCCTGTGTAACTCAGCTCTTCCTGGGTGACATGCTTTTATAGTCCCTACCAGCCTGTGCTGTTGCCTCAGCTTCCCTTAACATAAGGGTCTTGGGGAGACCAAGCTCAAAGTAAGGATGTTGGTTACAAATAAGCATTAATTAATATACTCTTTCATTCAACAAATATTTATTAAATGTTATCTATGTGGCAGACACTGGAGCTGGGGATCAGCAGTAACCAGGAATATACAGCCTCTACCCTCAAAAGCTTGTCCCAAATTTCATGTAGAGCCATGGCTCTTAATCATTGTGCAATTTGGCAAATACACTAATACTTAGGCCCCACCCTAGACGTTTTGATTTTCTACGTTGGAGTTTGAAACCAAGCATCTACATTTTTAAAACACTTCACCAGTAATTCCGATGCATGCCTTTCATTAAGAATCTCTGATCTATGAATAACATGTAGAAGAGCTAAGAAAAAATTTTAAAAGAAAGAGAAACCCTTCCAGGTATTAAAATGTTGTTATGGGCTAAAATAAGATTAACAGTGTGGTGTGAGTACAGGAGTGGACGTGCAAATCAATGGAGAAGAATGAAGGTCCAGAAATAAATTCCTCTGCGTGCACAGACAGGTGTACATGCTTGTGTATATGTGACAGAGAGACAGACTTTAGTATATGATGGAAGTGTCATTTCAGATCCATTGAAGAGAGGATGGATTATTTAATAAATGGTGTTGAAACACTGGGCTTAATCATTGGGAAAAAAAAGAAAACAACAACAAAATCCATACCTCTTACATTAACCACATAAATTCCAACACTAAAAGAATATGAATACCTAACTTCAGGTGGGGATACACTTTAAAAAGTAACAACAAAAACAGAGTCCATAAAGGCAAAGACTGTTACACTCCGTTAAAGAAAACTTAGAAAGGACTTACATAAAAAAAAAAAAAAACTCCTTTAAAATTCAAAGTGAAATAATAAATAGACAGAAATATTTGCAACGTGTATAATCAACTAAGGGCTACCAACCTGATGCATAAAGCTCTTAAAATCTTCAAGAGAAATATGCCTGGCCCACCAGCCTGCAAAATGAGTGAAGGTATAAACTAACACATCATATTAGAGGAAACACAAATGAAAAAGCATCAACCCCACTAATAATTAAAGAAATGTAGCTTCAACCAGTAATGAAATACTATTTCCCTTTTCAACTCATCAAAGAAAATCATAACAGCAGCAGGGGCAGTTGTTGATGTGAATCCAAAGCCTTAAAAATATACATACCTGTGGATCCAGCAATTTCACTTACTGGAATTTATCTGAAGGAAAGAAGTAAAACTGTACATCAAGATCTAACTGCAAGGATGTCCCCTAAAACATTTATTATATTGAAAAATTAGGAACTATTTAAATGTCCATCAATAAGGAAATGTTAAATAAACATATGGTACAGCCATAGAATGAAATATGGGGCAGCTAATAAAAGAAATAATGTGAAAGAATATTTAAAGACCTACAGAGGTGGTTGCAATACATTGTTAACTAAAAACAAGAAGTTTGCCAAAAGAATATATTCATTTTATGAAACATCCTTGTGTGCATAGAAAGCAGTCTGAAAAGATATACCCCAAGATGTTAATGCCGGTTGTCTCTTATATTTTCATCTTTTGGCTTTTTTTCTAATTTTAAGCAATAAACATATACTCATATTACACGTAAAATATACAATTTGTATAAAAAACAAAATTTGAAATATAAAAAAGAAAATTTGAAAGAAAAGTCATTTATCATCCTACCATATGTACTCAAGTGCTCCACTTTGGACTTTAGTAGGCCTGTCCTGGCCAGGACTAGGATGGCCCAGAGTTTCTTGGGGTAAAGGAAGACTCTCCAGGCAGTCAAGGCCTCTTCTCACAATATCACTGCTGCAGAGGGGAGGAATATCACTGCTGCAGAGGGGGCAGTGTCTTTGTGCATCCTGCAGAGCTGTTTCCACCAAGCCTGATCAGAAGAGGCATTGGAGGAGCCAAAGCTACTCTGTAGCATCAAGAGGGACAGAAGGCAGCCCCTCATGATCTCTAGAGGGACAACCCTAATGGTCACGATTTTCTCTGTCTGGACATCTGTGATTATAGGGGTGTATGTGTCTCTGTGCATTTCTATACATGCTTTTGCCTAGAAGTCTATGCAGCTCATCAACTATTTAACAAATGTTTATTTGATGTTTGCACTCCTCAAGCTGCTAGGAAAACACAGATGAACAAGCCGCTCTGCCGTTGCCTGCCCTCAGGAAGCTGACAGTCTAGTGGTAGCAATAGGCAGCCTAACTGAAGTCTCAGTAGAGTGGGGCCAGTGTGTGAACAAGCAGAAGGAGGTGGGGAAGCATGCGGAGTCCAGCCCTGGGGCGCGGCAGGTGTCCTGGAGTTGAGGCATAAGCTAGTCTTCAAGGATGAGCAGGAATTGGCCAGTATGGAAGGTGCTCAGTCAGAGAATCAACGAAAGGTCATGGAAGGATGACCAGGTCACTTCCTCCTTGGAGCCATTAAAGGCTTCACCTGACCCTCAGCATGGAGCCCAAATTGTCAAATAGCCAGCATAGCCTTGCAGCCTTTGCTCACCTTTCCTAGCCTCATTCTGAGCCCTCTCTACTAAGTTCGAGCCACACAGAAGTTCTTTCAGTTCCTAGAACTTGCCAGGCTTTCTTTCTCCTTTAGAGCTTTGCACATTTCTATAACTTTTTTCTCTCTTGAATGCCTCCTCTCTCCAAATAAGAGGAATGGTGGAGATTCCCCTTGCTTGGCCAGCTCTTCATCCTTCTGAACTCAGTTTCTCTAATGAGTCTTCTCTTGGGCTCCTCCCCCGTGGGCTCACACAGCATCCCATAGCTCCCCAATTCTGTACTTTACCCTCCTGCCCTTGCTTGGCCAGCTCTTCATCCTTCTGAACTCAGTTTCTCTAATGAGTCTTCTCTTGGGCCCCTCCCCCGTGGGCTCACACAGCATCCCATAGCTCCCCAATTCTGTACTTTACCCTCCTGTACAGAATGTGCATTTTCATCATCTGTCTTCCCAACAGACAGTGAGCTTTTTGAGAGATGGATCTGTCTTGTTTCCTGCAGTTTTCCCAGCTTCTGGCTCTATGCCTGGCACATAAGGAACTTGAGAAGTATTTGGTGATATGAATTGAATTGAACTGAGCCCAGACTAGATGGATCTGTCTTGTTTCCTGCAGTTTTCCCAGCTTCTGGCTCTATGCCTGGCACATAAGAAACTTGAGAAGTATTTGGTGATATGAATTGAATTGAACTGAGCCCAGACTCTTCTCTAGAGGGCACACTCCTCAGCCTCTGGTTATAAGAGTATCTCGAGTTAACAGACTATTAGGTTACTGACTTTGAGTACTCCCTCCCAGGCAGAAGCACAGCTTGGGAAACTCAAAACTGTGAAATTCAGAATTGTTCAACTTGCCACATGCCCGGCCTAAGGGAACAGCTAATTCAGGAGTCCCGAGAATGACCTTGCTGAGACCCCAGGACTGACATCTTTTTACCCACAAGGCTGGCTGGGAATTAGATGAGCTGAGCAAAGAGAACACTGACTGTGGTACCCCTGCTATGTGCCAGGCACTGTGCCATGTGCATTGCATATGCAATCCCAGTTAGTCCTCACTTTGAGGGTCTCCTGTGAGGGAGACATTAGCATCCACATGTTACAGTCAAGGAACCTAGAGCCCAGGGGGTGCTAAGCACTTTGGCCAAGACCTTCGAGCTAGTAGATGGGCTTTCGATCCAGACTGTCTTACTCCCAAGTGCACGCCTTTTCTGCCATCCTGCTCTTCTGCTCCAGGGTGGTGTTGATGTCACTCGTACGGTTCTGCATGGTTGACTCCAGTGAAGTATTTGTGTGTGCATCTGTCACACCAAATCTGTATTCAAATTCCAACATGAGGCCTCTCTATTTTTGTGACAATGTCTTCATTTTCTCACAATGGCCCAAAAAGCCCCAAACAGCACAGGTGGGAAACCCAGGGGTTTCATCTCAGGGTTTACTCATCCTTGGAGTCCCAGCCAAATGTTGACTCCTTTGGCAGGGCCATCTTCACATGCTAGAAGAATGCAGTGCAAAGTGTGAGCGCTCAACCAACTTGCTTCCACCTGGTACCATGTCTGACCCACCCCACCCAACCCGGTGTTTGCACTAGGACAGAAAGGACATATGTTTCCCGCGCTCTGCAGACTGAGAACAGCTTTCTCATTTGCACGTGTGTTCATGTGTTAGGAGTATAGCATACATGCAGGCACACACGCCCATGAGTCTCCTCAGAGCATGCTCATGCCAAGCCTTGTGCCAAGGTCACCCCTCATGCCAAGGGGGCCATCTTCACATGCTAGAAGAATGCAGTGCAAAGTGTGAGCGCTCAACCAACTTGCTTCCACCTGGTACCATGTCTGACCCACCCCACCCAACCCGGTGTTTGCACTAGGACAGAAAGGACATATGTTT